TCCAGGTGTCTATAAAGGCATAGCCAAGTTTGAGAGTCATCGATATAAAGCAAAAGGGAATAAATAAAACAGATAAGGTACCTTATTTCTTACTTTATCTATTTTATTTATTCCTATCCATCAGGGATCTCTTTACAAATGACTTTTTTTTCTGTCAAAAAAAAAGTTTGTACTCACGAAAGGGGAAGTAATTTCAGCCTCATGGGACAATAGGAAGTTTGAAGTTTTAACACAGAGAATGAAATAAGCAGCCTTGAACCAATCGCACAGGTGAACTATCTATCTCGGTATGCCTTCACATGATATCACATCCCAAGGATGTTCTAGGAAAGTCTGAATTTCAAATATTCTTTTCATTGAGCCCATAAATTACCAAAACATTTAGGGGAGAGGAACTGGGGGATTGGTGAGCAGGAGAGGGAATCTTGTCTTTCACTGTACACTAGTTTGTCATCTTTTTTTTTTATATGTTATTGATTATGCCATAAGAGTTGTCCCATTTTTTTCTCCCCTTTATTCCCTTTTTCTCTGCATCCCCCTCCCACCAGCATTCCCTCCCCTTACTTCATGTCCACGGGTCATACATGTACGTCCTTTGGCTTCTCCATTTCTTATACTATTCTTAACCTCCCCCTGTGTCTTTTGTACTTACTATTTATGCTTCTTATTCCCTGCACCTTTTGCCCCATTCTCCCCTCTCTGTCTCCCCTCTGATCTCCATTTCTGTGATTCTATTTCTGTTCTAGTTGTCTGCTTTGTTTGTTTGTTTGTTTAGGTTCAGTTGTTGATAGTTGTGGGTTTGTTGTCATTTTACTATTCATATTTTTGATCATCTTCTTTTTCTTAGATAAGTCCCTTTAACATTTCACATAATTAAGTGCTTGGTGATGATGAACTCCTTTAACTTGACCTTATCTGGGAAGCACTATGTCTGCCCTTCCATTCTAAATGATAGCTTTGCTGGATAGAGTAATCGTGGTTGTAAGTCCTTGCCTTTCATGACTTTGAATACTTCTTTCCAGCCTCTTCTTGCCTGTATGGTTTCTTTTGAGAAATCAGCTGATAGTCTTATGGGAACTCCTCTGTAAGTAACTCTCTCCTTCTCTCTTGCTGCTTTTAAAATTCTCTCCTTATCTTCAATCTTGGGTAATATAATTATGATGTGCCTTGGTGTGTGCTTCCTTGGGTCCAGCTTCTTTGGGACTCTCTGAGTTTCCTAGATCTCCTGGAAGTCTATTTCCTTCATCAGATTGGGGAAGTTCTCCTTCATTATTCATTCAAATAAGTTTTCAATTTCTTGCTCTTCCTCTTCTCCTTCTGGCACCCCTATGATTCAAATGTTGGAATCTTTAAAGTTGTCCCCGAGGTTCCTAAGCCTCTCCTCATTTTTTTAAATTCTTGTTTCTTCATTCTTTTCTGGTTTAATGTTTATCTCTTCCTTCTGCACCAAATCATTTATTTGAGTCCTGGTTTCCTTCCTTTTACTGTTGGTTCCCTGTATATATTTTTCTTTATTTCACTTTGCATAGCCTTCACTTTTTCCTCTATTTTGCAACCATACTGAACCATTTCTGTGAGCATCCTGATTATCAGTGTTTTGAACTGTGCATCTGATAGGTTGGCTATCTCTTCATCGCTTAGTTCTATTTTTGGAGCTTTGATCTGTTCTTTCATTTGGGCCATATTTCTTTGTCTCAACAGTCTGTTACATTGGGAGGGGCGGAGTCTTAGGTATTCGCCAGGGTGGGGCAACCCAGGTTGCTGCTTTTGATGCTGTATGTGGAGGAGGGGTCTGAGAGGGAACAATGCCACTTACTCAGCTCTCTGCTGGCCTCCAGTCACTTCCTCTGCTACCCACAGGCAAATTGGGCCCTTCTAGTGCTGATTCCTGGGGTGGGTTTGTATACATTCTAGGACCCTGTGGGTCTCTCCAACAAACTGTCTTGTGAGGCTGGGAGTTTCTTCCGCTGCCACATCCCCCACAGGTTTTAACAGCCAGAGGTTCTGAGGCTTTCTCTTCCCACACTGGAACCCTGGATTGCATGGTCTTTCTTGCTCCCCAGCTGTTCCTCTCAGTTTATCTGCACATGAATGTGGGACTGCCCAGTCTGGCAGCTGCCGCCTTGCCACACGTCCTCTCTGCCCAGGTTGCTCATCTCCACCCCTCTTACCAGTCCAGATCAATATTTCTTCTTTAACTCCTTGGTTGTCAGACTTTCATACAGTTCTATCTTCTGGCAGTTCCAATTATTTTTTGTTTTTAAATTTGTTATTGTCCTTCTTTTGGTTGTGTCAGGAGGCAAAGTGTATCTACTTACACCTCCATCTTGGCTGGAAGTCAGTTTGTCATCTTTTAGATTCTGAACCATGAGTTACATGTGTCCTGAGTATATGAGCTAACATTTTAATAATCCAGAAATTGTAACACTTTGGTTTTCAAATTACATCTCGCAAAATTAGCTCATAGATTGAAAAGGAGCCTGTTAATTTATGATTCAATGGCATGGGCCCAATCCTCACACAGCAGGAAAGTAAACCAAGGCAAAGATAGGTGATACTGCTTTTAGTCTTTTAATTTATTTATTTATTTATTTATTTATTTATTTATTTATTTGGGTATTTTTATATAATGAAGGAGAGACTGAAAATTTGAACGCACACCTGAAGTATTTTACAAAAAGCTCCCTAACAGGGTTATTATAAAGATCGAATGAGATAATGATTCATGCAAAATGCCCAGTCTAGTATATTAGCACAGAGTAATCCTTATCTAGGATTACTTCCTTAAAGATGAAAATGGGTCCAGTGGTCTGAGATTTGCTTAGAGAAACTCCAGAAGTCTGACTTCTGAACACAGCCAGCTCTAACAGAAGAATGTACTGGCGTGGGTCCACATTCACGCAATTACAGCTCATGTTGGTACAGAGCCAAGTCTAAAGTTTGATCTCTACCCCAGATTTCTTTTGGAAGCACAAGTGTCCAGACAAAATCACAACATGTGTGCCTCTCCTTCTGAGGCTTCCATTTTGCAGGAACAATAACAGCTGAACTCTGAAACATGGGAATGAGGAGCAAAAAAGCAATCTGTCCCCTGCACCTGGCCTGGGTATATGCTTCTGAAACTTCCATGCTCTGGAGGAAAAATAACTGCTCTGCTACAAAGAGCTAGAAAAACAATTTTCTTAAAAATAAACAGGTCCCAAGAGATCAATGGTCTGGAAAAATTCCTCTGAGATCCTTTCAGGCCCTGAATATAAACAGTAATCAACTTTTCAGTCCAAGAATTGGATTCATACCCTCTCTAAGCATAACACATACACTACAAATTGCATACACCTCTGAAGAGTTACAGCAGTTCTGAAAGGAGGCAAAACCACATACATCTCATGACTGCAGCATGACCCTCAGAATTTCCTGTCGAGGGGCTGGGCACATCTATTGAGCCCTGGGCATTCACTCCAGGCACATGGCACAGCTGCTCTGCCCTCTCTGAAATCTGACAAACTCTCAAAGAATCTTGCCTCAGAAACATCTCCTTCTCACAGTTGTACATATGAAAACATCCCTTTAAATTATGACTAGGAATCAATGAAATTGAAGAACATTCTTTGTTATTAGTTTTAGTATATATATACAGGGTCTGGCAGAAGTAACACCATTGAGTGTGGCTGGTAGGGTATGTGAATATCTCGCATGAGATGGACAGCAATTTGAACATTTCATCTAAAATGCCATATGGTGTGCTTGAGTGTGATTTGGTCATGTTACAGAATTACATGTTTATGATTTTGTAATAAAATATTTGGTATAGATTACCAGCTCATAAAGAAGGGGCGTTATTTGTGCCAGACCCTGTATGTATGTACATGAGCATGTGTATATATTCTTTTTTCTCTAATTTGTAGTTACTTAGCTAACTACTCTTTAAAAGGCATTTTAAGGAGATAAAGGTTAATCAGGCTAAGACCTGCCTTCAAAATCACATTTATGATCTAATGAGCGTTGATTTGCAAAGAAAAAAGTAAATATAAGATGATAATGATAATAGCAATACTTAATAATTATTAAGCTTTTCCTTTGGTCAGACACTTCATACACACTAACACTTCCCAATGACCCTTTGAGGTAGTTATCAGTCCTGATTTGCAGATGTGCAGGTTGAGTCTTACATAACCTAGGTAATTTTTTCAAGGTTATAGTTTACATGAATAACTAGAATCCATTAACCATATACACGACCACTTATATGACATAAGAATGGTGTATTGTATCTCATGCCATTTCCAAATGTCAGATACTTTGACAATATTTTAAAATTTCAATTAAATCTGGATTGAGAGGGTGTAACTCAATGTTTGTAATCAACACAAAGCGGAAGGCCTGAATCTCTTACAGACCAGGACACACTCCAATGTTTGAGAGTTAACCACTTCTCATGCAAAATAGTTTCTGGATTATTTTTGCATTATGTTAAATCACAACATCCTCTTACTGCATTTGTCAAGTCATTTGTCCAGTCCCCTTCCAATCTCATTCCTAAATATTCTTGCACAAGAAGACTTCTTGGGCCACTTTCCTTGCAGTCACAGGGGTTGAATTAAGATTCTATGCTGAATCATGTTTATAACAATATTTTACTAATAATGTCTGTATGGTTGAATATTTAGAATGATGGAATGTTTTTCCTACTATAAATATTATCAAACGGGTTCATGCATATAATAATTCCAATATTTTAGGCATTTCACCTGGGTTAGTTTCCCAGAAGTGAAATTACTGTGTCAAATAACTTAAACATTTTCAAATTTCTTGATAAAGGTTGACTTATAAAAAACTTAGACAGAGCACTGTCTTTGTTTTGTTGCAGTCATTCAGATTCCTGAAAAACACTTAGAGCCTTTGTTGAAGAAGTGTCATTTGTTTTATAAATTGCTCTAAAGCCAACTCCCAGCTCGGAGTTACCCGAGAATATCTGAGCATCCCCAGCAAGCACCACTCACCTTCTGCCCTTCCGCTGCCCTTCTGTCTACTGTTGTGTAGAGGCAGCACCTCCAGCGATGTGATGCCTGAACTCTCCAGAATATTCACTTCCACTGTCAGCCTCCCTACCAGTTGCTGGGGTCGCACACTGATGACATGCTCATACTTCCCAAGCCGCCTCTGCAAGAGCTCTTCATAGCTCAGGAGGAAGACAGCTTTGTCCTTGCTGGGAATAACTGTGGAGGCTCTGAACATTTCAGTTCCCTTCTCCCTGTAAGGAAAAGAAATAGGAACAAAGGGTGAGAGAAAGCCAGGTTCCCTCAAGTCCCCTTGGGGCACGGCCAAACTCTCTGTAACAGTCTTTAGACATTAGAAGTAAAAGTTAGCATTGGAAGAAATAAAGGCTTGCACTAGAGGAAGGTTGTAAAGTTTCAAAGGATACTAAAGAAGAGAGAATTCAAACACTACTGAACTCTCCTACCTCTCCTTGAGTCATACCCAAGGGGACAATGGGGAAAGGAGACCCTGAAATAGGTGAACTGCTGGAAAAGAGAGCGCTGGGGTCAAGATGTAAATTGCATTCTCTTTTTTGCAGGGATGGCCAAATAAACCAGACATTTTATTTAACTTTAAAATAGCTAATGTATGAGGTTTTTACACCTTGGTAAAGTCTGACAGATGTGGTTAAGGAAAGGGTAAAAAGTAAAGGATTGCAAAGCATATAAAAATACAAATAATTTTAAATGCTTTCAGTATGTAGAGTGAGACTTCTCTGATTCAAGGTGGCAGTCTGACCGTAGCAGAGAGAGTAAATGATTAAATCAAAGAAATCAGAGTGGTAGAGGCAACCATCAGTGGGTAGAGCATTTCAAAACAAGACTTAAGGAATTCAGTAGACCAAGAACTCTACAGCTCGGACTACATGGGTAGGAACTGCAATAAAGTAGAAAAACACACAATCTGCAGAATCCCAGAAAGACTCCAGGCTCTGGTTCAGCAGGTCACCACAGATGAGAGTGAGAAGGGGGACCAATTTCAGGGAGAACTCCAAGTTTTTTATGTAAACGAGTGAATGGCTAAGATGATAGGCTTCCTATACTCCTCTTTCCCAGAGCTGAAAAGAGACAGAGGTATTAAAATGAAAAAATTTTACTGAGAGCTGAGCAGAATCAATAAAAAAAAAACAATGACTGACACTTAAACCTATGACTGTAAAATTTCAGAATACCAAGTAGAGAAAACAAATAAAAGAAATGGTATTAGACCACATTGAATGCATCATCAGCGATACTGGATGTTTTGAGGCATTGGAGCAATGTCTTCAAAATTTGGATGGCAAATTATTCTGATTCTTAAATTCCATACACAGTCAACACTTTAATCAAGGTCTCAGAAAGTCTGACTTTCTCACACTCATTGTAAGGAAGTTACTTCAGAACATACTCCAGCAAAGTGAGGATGAAAATCAAGTAGGAGGAGGATATAGAATACAAGAAGTAATGAAACCAACCCAGATAAAAATAAAAAGGTATCCCAAGGTAAACATTATGTGTCAAGACTGAAAAGCAATGACAGTCTTCCATGGTATGGAGACACCTATTTTGTCCTGTTTAACAGCTCAGAAATCAGATGTGTCTCCCAGTCAGCTATGCCTTCCAGTTGCTCTTGACAATGACATGAATGTCGTTGTCATAGCTGTTCACTTAGCCACCATTTCAAATGAGTTATGTGTCTTGCTAGATATTGTAACGAGATTAAGTTTTATCTCATAGGAAAATCGATTAGAAACTCCAGGAGAAAAGAGAAATGTACATTCTGGGATCCAACTAAACAAAACTATGTCATGATTCTGAACAATTTATGAATTATAAGAAAAGATAATCCTGATAAAGAGCATCTGATAAAAGACCACTTATAGACAAAGTTAGGATTTAATAACCTGCTGTGGCAAGGGAGATACATACCAGAAGTATCATGGAGCATCTTGCCAAACAAAGGAGACACAGGGTTATTACAGGATTTGGGGAAGGGTGGAGTGTAGGTGAAGTTAAATGAAGCAGTGTTTGGAAGCTCAAAGAAAACCAGGGCTGTGTGTAAAACATTTAGTATCAGCCTGAACTGAGAAACAAACTCAAGGTTCTTTGTCCTTAGGAACTACAAAATTAAGATAAATGTGCACTTCTGTGGCAGACAACCCTTTATCTGAAGCTGTGGACCCTGACTGCTTTTCATCATCGGAGTGAACCCCTGACCCACACGTTCCATTCTCTCTAATAGGATCTCCAACAGCAAAGTTTCTGACAGTCGATAATCTCAGAGAACAAGCTTTCTCAAAACTATATTCTTTTATTAATGAATAATAACACATTCACAACATTTCACAACATTTTTATCTAGATACTAGGATCATTTTTTTCCAAATGGGGTGGTAGAGAGGGAAAGAGAGTCTTAGTATACTAGATGGCTCTGCAGTTAATGTTATTTATGTATCATTAAAAAGTAAATGTTATATCTTGGTTTTCGGTGTTTAGGTTCAGTTTACAGACAAAACAAAAAATACAAATATCATAACAGGTCAGAATTTAACAGTTACTAACTCTGACAATGCAATAGTAAATGATTACATAAGAAAAGATAGGTACTGGAAATGGAAACAGAAAGGTAAGGTGAAGTGCAGGAGAGGAAGTAGTATCATCAAAGATCATAGGTCCAGTCTAAGATGGTGTAATTGCTTAAACCAATGTAAGAAGAAGGAATAATTATGTAAAAATTTGGAATGCAGAGGGAGAATGGGAACATTGCAATTATGCTAAATCCTGTGTTTTCCCAGCAGAAAATCAATAGGTAATATCTGATTTTTATCAAGAAATTTGTAAAAACAAAGACTATCAGAATATTAAGAATTGGGGAGAAAACAACAAAAAAACTATGGAAATATTAGAAGTGGATGTTTCTAGAAAGTAAGAACAGGGGAATGGGAGTGAAAATGTTCCTTTTTTTTACTATAAATCCTTCTCTACTATGCTGTTAAAAATGTATGTATTATTATTATGATAAAATAGAAAGTAAATACCTAAAGAAATAAAAGCAATCAAGGTAAGTAGACAAAGAAGTAGAAAATTTGACATTTTGCTAAAACGAATTTTTAATTCCTTAATAAAATGGCACTTACCCATTATCTTCTGTGGTTTTATTCCTTTTCTCTTTTACCTTATCATTTTTCTTTTCTCTCTCTGTAATTTCTCCCTGATACACCTTGTCACCAATTAGCCTGAAAACCAGAGACAGTTGTGTTACCAGCTTTCAGTTCCCAAATACAAACATAGATCTCATAACCATGACAATAGTAAAAAATATTTTATTTGCCTCTTGGATATGCAGAACCTACATTCCAAATCAGGGCACTACCTCTGAATCATTCATTTCATTCTAAAGCAATTTTCAACAGGTACAGAAGGTAAGACCCAGCCCACAGTGCCTCTGTGATTCTTCAGGAAGTAATTAAGAAATCTGTTCAAACTTCCATGACATGTCATGAACTTGACTCTTGCTTAGGCCTAAAATTCAAGTCAAACAACCTCCCCTCTTTTGCATATCTTGACCATCCACTGGGAAAAGAAGAAACATAACTAATATAGCAAAGGTTTCACGCTGTCTCATCATTCACATCTCAACTTAAACATTGCCTCTTCTGAGCCACCTCCTTGACTTCCCTACATAAACAATCCCCTCTCAGTTGTTTGCCATCATTATAGCATTTGCTACTACTGAAATTATCTCATTTATTGACTTGTTTACTTATTATAAAATTTCTGGAGCAGAACAGCATTGTCTTTTTCATAAGAGTGTACAATCACTTTGAAGAGTGCCGGGCCTTGCTGGAGGAAAGGAGAGAAAGAAAGAGGAAAAGAAGAGGTCATAGAAAGGAGTAGGAACACAAAAGAGAGAGGGAGGAATGCATAAGGGAGGGAAGGAGAGAGGAAGGGAAAGAAGAATCAGCCTTCTGACCCATATACCATCAACTGGGAAATAAATTCTCACAGCCAAAAGCGGGGCCACATTATCTCAGGCTCACTCTGACCACCTTACATAGATATTGTCATTCTGGGGTCTCTGACCAATGTCACCTACATAGTGAAGTTGGTGATAAAAGCTGCAGCTGGAATCTGCATCAGAAACTCAGCATCTTGGTCCTCAGAAGCTCTATTCATCATTCGGCAGGAAACCGTAGTAAAGGCATAGCGAGAAATAATGGTAGATTTCACGGAGAATTCTGTCATCAGAGGTTTAGTTTTCTGTTGAAATTAAGACACACAGTATTTTCAATGATGTGTGAAAGCATGATTTGGGATAGATGTGGGTATTTTTTCCCCTAAGAAATAATCTTTGATTTGGGAGATTTTGACATGTGATTCTTCTTTCTTTGTCTTTCCTGACATTCCCACTTTTCACTCCCTCCACTTGTAAAACAACCATGGCTGAACAACCAGTTTATGACATAGAAGCAAATCTTCTCACCTAATAGTAACAAATGCACACAGTTAAGATTTCCAATTTAACAGAGATTATGCATTGCTTAAGTAGCTTAATAAATTATTGGAATTTTAGGAGTATGTGAAGTATGTAATACTTTTCTGTTACAGATGTTCAGATCACATTTATGGGATCAACAAATTGATCAAAAATCAGAGCATGCCTATGGACCTTCTCATTTTCAAATAATTTCAATACCCACTTAGAGACACTGTACTCTGGGCTTTCCCATTTGGACTACAATCACATTATTATAAAATGGGAATCAATACTGAGCTCAAGAAAGTATTCGAGGAATCAGAACCCAGAAAAATGAAAGTTAATTCAATTTATCCTAAAAACCTTTGATAAGGGCAGTATCTGCTCCTTAAAATAAATAAATAAAAAGGTTTGTTGATCCCTGGTCTACACTATTTAAACAGATAGGGCCCTGATATCCATCATTACATATCTTTACTGATTGGTGTGTTTTAGGAAGAGATCTCAAATTATACAGCCTATAGACTTTTTAATTTGAGTTGCACAATCTTTAAAAGTTTTTCAAGTTTAGGTGACACCATATAAAAATTGGGAAAGATTACATAAAAATCCATAATGCCCATTTTTCTTGAAACAAGAAGCAGGGCCACTCTGGCCACACATCCCAGCATGACCAGGAGCTGCTGTCACTAATGGCGGTTGCTACCTTAGACCAGACCCACAGCCCACACTCCCAGCTCCCCAGGCCTACCAATCCGAACTGTCTCATTGATGCTGAGGCTGAGAGTAAGTGGCAATTTTCACTGTTTTTACTGAAATTTTCCTTATTCCCAGCCTATTTCACTCATTGATGTCCTCTGTTCTACTAGATTAAAAATGGCCACAATTAGCACACCTATATTTATAGCAGCATTTTTCACAAAAAATTTATCCATTGGTGGATGAATGGACAAATAAAATGTGGTATATGCATAAACAGGATGCTATTCGGCCTTTAAAAGGAAGAAAATTCTGGCACATGCTATATCACAAATGAACCATGAGAACATTATGCCAAGTGAAATAAATCAGACACAAAAGGACAAATACTGTATGGTTCCACTTATATGAATTTACTAGACAGAAATTAAAATGGTGGTTTTTCAGAATTTGGGAGAAAGGGAGAGTGGGAAGTTGCTGTTTAATGGGTACACAGTTTCAGTTTATCTTCTTAATTTTTAATTTTTAAATCACTTTTACTCTATTACAGTTGTCTCAGTTTTTCCACCTTTCACAGTTTCAGTTTTGCAAGATGAGAAGAGTTATGGAGATGGATGGTGATGATCATTGCATCACAGTGTGAATGTACTGAATACCACTGAACTGTGTACTTTAAAGTGTTAAGGTAAATTTTGTGTTGTGGGTATTTTATCATAATACAAAAGAATGAAAGAAAAAGTAATATATATTTTTAAATGGTCACAAATTCTTTGCTTTTCTTGCCTTTGAGAACTGGAGTTTAATTCACTTTCCTTTGAATCTGGGCCTTAGTAACTTTGTTCCACCTATAGAGCTCACTGGAAGTGATGCCCTGGAACTCTGAGATCAGGTCACAGGAGCCTCACCACATCTGTCCAGGTCTCTCAGAACATGTTCTCTGGAGGCTCTGAGTTACCATGTTAGACTGAGACTGCCATGCTGGAGAGGCTGTATGTAGGCACTGCAGTCGCTGTGGCAGTGGAGCCCAGCTGCAGCCTTTCCTGCCCAATAGCCCAGCACATGAACAAAGCTGTAGTGAATCTTCCAAATCAGCCCATCTGCTTCTAAACAGCACTGAGCAACCTCCACCGACATCCTGCTGCCAGAAGACTCATTCAACTGAGCCCTGCCCAAACCCTGTCCCACAAATGGTGCCATAACACCTCTGGCCTAAAAGCCACTGAGTTTGGGGAAGATTTTTATGCAGCAATAAAACTGGAACACCTGCCTCATCTCTTAAGACATTTTATAGTTTGTAACCCTAATGTAGTGTGACTAGCACTTGAGTGAGATCTAGTCATTTTGTCAGTTACACTTAACTCTATGCTATTTCTGATCTTTACCTGTTTTCTTTGTTTTGTTTTGTGAACTAGATTTGTGTGTATTGGAAAAACCATTGAAATCCTACCAAAAGAAGTTACCGTATAAAGACAAAATATAAAAAATCCTCAAGTCCAGTCCCCTCACTCTACCAATGTAGACCAAAGGTAAGAGGTAATAGACCCAGCTTGGGAGTCTGGAGTCTCTGACTTCAATCCTGTGTCAATTATGAAGAGTTCACAGAGAAGCCTGGCCATTCAAGGCTTTGCATGGTGATCATTGGTAGGTGGCCACTAAAATATAGAACTCCAAAAGCATGCCAAATATAACTCAGCTTTTGCTGCCAATTCAAAACTTACCTGTGAACCTCAGTTATCATCCATTAAATTGTCAACATTCAAGACATAGGAAGTTAAGCTGAACCCATTCTGCACTGTAGTTGTATTCTGACATTTTCCAAAAATTTTTATTTTTTAAGTTAATGGTCTTTTATTGGAAAAAATTAAAAAGACTATCATTTACAATTTGGAATGAATGTAAATCGTAATTTTATAAACAGAAATGTTGATGTTGCACTAAAGTCCATAGCCACAGCCTACCTCTGCTGGCTCCAAACCGTGGTTCATAAGGTTTTACCAACAGAGGGCCCAAAGACTCTCCCTTGGTAAAATGGTGACAGCCTGACACCCATTTTGCTCTAGTACAATGCAGACAATGCCAAACCAACACATGCGGGCATGCCACCAGGATGTGTCATTGTTGCCAAGAGTCGGGGCACATGGACGCACAAGAGGACCATCCTGCTACTGGGGCTACGTCTAGATAGTTTATCCATCACCCACTTTTCTACACACATCCTGAGGTAAACCAATTTTAAATGTGTTTGCTTTTAGTAAACCAGCTATGACAATTTATACTAACAAACTGAACTAGAACCCATTTGAATAAGTTTTGAATTTGTTTTTTCATTTTTAATACAAATCCTTGACTGTGCTCAATAGTCAAGCTGTATGTATGAAAAACTGGCCATCTCAAACAGTGTATTAATCATTAGCAAGTGGGTCTTCTGTAAGGAGTCCACTAAGAGCTTCCCTATCATTAAGGTAGTACAAGTATTTATATTGTAAAACTAATGTGTAGCTTGATCTATAGGAGAGAAGACCACCAATCAATACATACAGAATGTTTGTGTGTAGACAGACCGTAATCTTGACATTCAGTTTTGTTGTATAAAAAGAATGAGTAAATTATTATTACTATTTTTTTCACAAGAGGTATCTGAAAGATTCAGTTTGATTCTTCTATAGGGGGAAAAGTTGAAAGTAGGTCTTATTTTGTAGTCATCACCGGTATGAATTCTTCATAGTTGACTTGTCCATCCCCATCAATATCTGCTTCTCTGATAATTTCATCTACTTCTTAACCTTTTAGTTTTTCTCCTAAGTTTGTCATGACATGGCGATGTTCTGCCACACTGCTGTAACCATTGCCATCCTTGTCAAAGACTCTGAATGCCTTGTGGCTTTCTTCTTCACTGTCTGTATCTTTCATTATTCTAATAGTCATAACCAAAAATTCTAGGGAATCGATGATGCCCTTACTGTCGGCATCCGCTTTACTGATCATATCCTGCAATTCGGTTTCTTTTAGGTTCTGACTCAGTGATGTCATGACAGTGCCAGTTTCCTTTGTTGTCATGGTGCCATCGCCATCTTTTCTACTAAGGAGAAAGCTTCCTTGAATTCAGCAATCTGTTCCTGGATCAGCTGATCGATCAGTCACTGTGTGAACACAGGGAGGCAGAACCAAAGGATCGAGGGTGATGTTGGGGTGCCTCTGCGGCTGCTAAGGTGCTAAGGAGCAGGGTGTCCCCGGCACTGGCTGCTGCCCTCCTCCACCTGGGCCTCTGCCACTGAGAGTCAACCATGCTGCGGCCAGGAGTCTCCCTGTACAAATACCCCTCAAATTCTTATCAACCTACTGCTTAACTCTTTTACATAAAAGTAAAGTACTATTAAGGAAAAATCTTAAATTCACAACTTAGGAAAGAGTGTACAGCTCAAGCTGCATAGCATTCCAAATACTTAGCCTTCAGTAGATAGTCCTTGCCCGGTACTATTTTTAAAATAATTAAAAATCTTCTTCACTTGATACATTGGTGACTATTTTTGATGTTATGTTGATTTGTTGTCATTTATGAGATAATTATTAATTATAATTTCATTGAACTTAAAATGTGAAAATTAGAGACACCTGATAAAAGACTAAGTTTACCTCTATATACTATGGTATCTTCTTTTATCTTAAATTGAGGTTATGGATATAGTAGAATTTCTCACAATATTACATCATGAATAGGAGGAATAATGTATAGATCCAAAAGACAGACTGAGGAAAGTTTCAGGAAACTATTTTAGTTTTATGGCTCCTTCTATAACTATATTCCCATAGAAGCTTCTACTGTGACTCTGAAGTTATAGGCCTTGCCCATCTGTTACTGCACTCTTGGTATATAATCTATTGAAATTAATTGTGTGCAAATCTGTCCCCCACTTCCCTCCATCTACCAATCCCTTGTCCCTGCCCCCTGCTAGATTGTAAACACATGGAAAACAGAGACCAATGCCTACTTTTTTTTTCCCCACAGCTTTCAGCATAGAGTAAAACTCAAAAACATTTATGGAATTAAATTGAATTTCCTGATTCTTGAATAATTAAAGAAAAATAAATATCCCAAGGAAATAAAATGGTAATAAACTAGTATTTATTAAACACTATGATAGACTAAATTCTATGAATGATTGGGAAAAATATTACATATGGTTCCTTCTCTCAAGGTACTCACTATGATCATATTGGAAGAAAGTGCTACAAGGTATAGGGATATTTTTTTTTTAACTTATTGGCTCTAAGTCCTTACAGATTTCAGTCAAAAGAGAAATTAGTGAGGTCTGTAAAAGTAAGAAAGAGTTTTAAAACAGACATAGAATTTGTATGTGGTGAAAGAGAACAAAAAGAACATTCTAGAAACACAGAATTTATGGAAGTAGGAATGAATCACATCACATTCCTGGAACAAAGAACAGAACAGTTTAATTAGAATGAAGGGTACATTGTGAGAAGAATGTTGGACATGTATGTCAAATTGTCAGGAAATGGACAACCCCAAAAGCCAAGTACAGAATTTGGAATGGCTGAGGTTCATGGAACTGTATCATAAAAGGAAAGCTATAAAACAGTTGCCTCAGTTTTTCCCAGCACACACTTCTTAAAAATTCAACACGCTTTCCATTTTTATACTTAACTCATTTCGTTTGGGAATGTCCACTGGAAAATAGGGGGCAAAAATCAAGTCTTCTTATGACATAATAATTTCTTCATTATTTTCCTATAAAAGCTAACAAGTTGGAAAAGCAGTTTGAGGCAGGGAGTGTCTTAATTAGCCTCTCAAGGGACCAGACGTTTCTGTGTGACTCATGTGAGTCACTTAACATCAAGTTACCCAGAGGATGTCCTGAATTAACCAAGATGCCATCTGGAAATATAACTGAGGAATGTGTGCATCGGCATTTGGCAGAAGTCAGGTCCCTTCCCTGAAGATTAACCTTTTGTTATTTTATTCTGGTCTCATGGTTCTTCAGTGATCATTAGGAGAAATAATTTTGAAGTTGGTGGAGAACCTTAGAAATCGTCTAACTCAGCTCCCCCTCACTTTATAAAGGAGAAGTCTGAAGCTTGGCAGTTGGCTGAGAAAAACAACATAACCCGTGTTGTTATCCCATGAAGCAGAAGACCTGCAGGTGAGGCACCGCCTTGACAAGACATCTGTATTTATCACCTTGGAGAAATAATTTACCCCTTTATATCAGCTCTGGATTGCCTAACTGTGGTAATACTACTAATTTAACAATATTTCATTACATTTAGGTGAGAGGGAAGATATCACCTTTATATATCACAATTAGCATCTTTATGTAGAAGAAAAACCCACTCTGTACACCTTCTACAAAAGATAAGTCATGGTGCCCTGGCTGGTGTAGCTCAGTGGATTGAGTGCCAGCCTGTGAACAGAAAGGTCTCTGGTTCAGTTCCCAGTTGATCACAGTTGGGGGCATTCAAGAAGCAACCAATGGATGTATCTCTCACACATCAATGTTTCTCTCCCTCTCTTCCTCCCTTCCTTCCCTTCTCTAGAAAAATAAATAAATAAAATATTTTAAAAAAATAAACTATGGTGTTTAGAGTAAGGAGTAGAGAGACAGACACATGTATAACCAACTCTCTATGAGGTAATGACTCCCAGCACCATGCTATCTGCTGTATGGACTATCGTTTTTTATTATCTATATTCTTGATGCTCTGGCATTTGGGGTCCTGATCCCAGAGCTAGCTAATTCCTATAGTTAGCAAACAACTCCCCTGTGAGCACATCTTTAATATACAACCAACCAGACCAGAGTCCATACTTCTAACCGCCTCCTTTAATAAACTCTCACACACCCAGCTAATATTCATCTGCCCTAAATCCCCCCTGACAACTAGAGACCACCACTATAGCCCAGAGCCAGCCAAAATTATTCAAACTATGCAATCCTAAGCTTATTTACTAATTCCTTCCTGCAAAAACCCAATAAAGGCTCTGGTCCGTGTTCTTCTTTGCTTCATCTGCCTCCTGACTGACCCTGATGTTCCCCGATGTGGCTCTGTGTGGTGCGCTATGCCTCCTATTCTGACAAATCTGTAAGTATAAACTTCCTCCTTGATCATAATCATTTCCATGTCTACATATCTCACCAACCTGCTTAAAACAAATCCAGTGAACAAATTTTAGAATACCCACTCTGAAGGAGATGCCTGACATGGCCCTTTCCATTGGTAGGTTAAATGATGACAGTGAATTGTTTTTTTGCAGCTGTGTTTATAGAGGGAAAAACCTGGAAAAAAATGGAATGCTTAATAAATTATGGTGTGCCAACAACATAGAATATTTCTCACCATGTAGAAGAATGCATAGAGCTAGGCCAGATGAGGCATTGTTGAGTGAAAATAATAATAAATAGAAAAAATATATAGTTGAGAAGGCAGTTTCGTATGTAAGTTAAGAGCATGGACTTGTAAGCCAGGCTGTTAGGACTCAAATCCTGGCTCTCCTACCAACTGTGTAGTTTAAGGCAAGTTAATCTCTCTGAAGCTCAGTATTCTCATCTGTACAATACCTCAAAGAATTGTTACAAGGGTGATAGAGCTATGACACAGTGCCTGGCACACAGTAAGCACTCGGAGCACATTAGCTGTCATTATAGGATCCCATTGTTTGAAAGCAATAATCAGAAATCTCATAGATGCAAATGTATGTAAGGTGCCCCCATGTTCCTCTGTTGTGGTATTTGTCACCTTCCCCATTACTAATATACTTATAATCTATTTGTTTACTTTATCACTGCACACTTTTAGAACTGAAGCAGTGTGACAGATAGGATCTTTGGTCTGTTTTGTTCATTGTTACATTCCCAGTGCCTACAACAGTGTGGGGCAGATAGTAAGCACTCAAAAAATTATTTGTTGCATAAATGCCTGAGTTCCCATCTATTAATCTCCAACATGCATTGAGAGCCTTGCCCAACATGTACCACATGAAGCTTTACTTTAAAAATGTGAATTCTCCATTTGCTTTAGTTGTTTGCTTAAAAGGAAAGCCTTTATTTTTGTGTAAGAATGTGATAAAAAAAAAAAAAGTAAAGGTGAATTGAGGGGGGGTGTGTGTGTGTTTTAAGAAGTAAGAAGTTCTTTAGAACTTCATACTTTGTCCTTGTAGTCCTACTAAAATAATCAAGTTTCTTTCCAGAAAGAAAAATCCACTTAAAGAAAGCCTTATAAAACCTACTCTGTTTCATGTTAGAATTCCTCTACAAGCAGCTTCATAAGCTTTGGAGGAGCTGCAAGCAAAGTTAGTGCCTGGTTCAAAATACGCTGACTAGATATGGGACAGATGTAAGATGTACAATGAATATACATACCAGCCTTTGCAACAGCCGGGGTTGCCTCGGGACCCTGAGTCCAACCTAAAAGAGAAGTCATGAAATATGATTGTGAGATTATTTTTAAGGAAGTTAGTTACATGAGGAAGTTAAAGTCAATTCAAATTCACAAAAATTACTATCTATCCTGAAAAACAGTTTTGATCTTTAATCAGAAAGCTTCTAGGCCAGAATTTGAATTTATCCCTCCCAGGCCTGATTGACTGCTGACCCTACGATGTCACACTACCTCGTCGCCTGAGTGTCTTTAAATCTGTTAGAGGAGTAAGGATAAAATGACAAGGATGAAAATTTCATCTGCATTATTTCATTTTATTTTGGGCTTGAAAATAATTAGCTCTTCACTATTGTCTCCATTACAATAAGTAAACGTGTTTGGTCTTGCTCAATTATTCAACTCAAAACTCTAGGAAACTCTGGAAGCAAAGCTGAACCAAACTTGAATTTTCTTTTGTTTTTCTGAATGACTTGCTGTACTTTCCCACATGAAGAGGAGGATCACAAGAAGATGAGAAGATCTTCACTTTCAAAAATTATACTAATGAACGAGACACTCTGGACTAATTAAAAAGTCGTAGCTTCTTGTTGGAATTTACTCACAGAAAATCACTGTTTAAATAACTGAAGTGTGAATTATTGTTGCTGTAATAAGTGGTCCTTTCTGGAGGGCAATTCACAATGAACATTAAAAACTTGAAAAATATGCCTAGATCTTATGTATATCTTATTTTAACAGATTTATGAGGTATAATTGAAAATGCATTCTTCCAGTGAAGACAGTGGCATAGGTACACACAGCTCACCTCCTTACGCAACCACATCAAAATTACAACTAAAATATAGAACAACCATCACTCAGAACCATTATAAATTGAGTTGAATGGAAGTCTGACAACTATGGAATTAAAGAAACCACATCCATCCAGACTGGTAGGAGGGGCTGATATGCGGAAAGGGCTGGTCCCACATCCACATCCCACAGCCCAGGGCTGCAGTGCCAGGAAGTAAGTTCCCATAACTTCTGGTTGCAAAAACCAGCAGTGATTGAGTCAGTATTAGAAATTTATGTAGTGCCAAGCAGTTTCCCTTAAGGAACCCACACATAGACTTACTCAGACTCAATTCCTCTGAGCTCCAGCACCGAGGTAGCAGCTTGAAAGGCACCAGTGGCATACAGGGAGGAACTTAAGTGTCTAGCATCAAGGCGGGAGCTAGGATACAGCTTTCTCCCACACAGAAAAGTGAGCAGAGGTCATTGTCCCTTTTCTTAGCCCTCCCCCTACAGAGTCACAGGGCAAGCAGGTGGGTGCCATATCTGAGGCTCCATCAACCTGGTAAACATTGTTTGCCTTGCCCTGCAGGTCACTGAGACTTTGTCCAACCCAGCTTATGGCCCACCAGAGCTGTTAACTGTCATTTTTGCATATGTATGGCTGGTCTTGACTCATGCTTCACAACTTCCTAAATCTTATCAAACAAGCAACAGGAGGCCTCACTAAGCTCGCAGCCATTGTACCTCTTGCTAAGTGGCCCCAAGGCTCAGCACTAGCAGTAGCCAGCCTAGATTCATAGTTTGGCTTCACCTGGGAATCTCCAAGCCCATCGCAAGTAGCAGCCATCTAAGATTGCTTTATAGCTCATGCAGGGTGGTCCTGGGAAGAATACAGGTTGGGGCTGACCTTGGCCTGTACCACCCAGGAAACCCCAGAGTCTATGCACGCAGCAGAGAGCTACAAATCATGATGGAGCACAACCACCCTGCCCCTGCACAGCTGATGGAGAGTGAAGATTGGAGGTCAGTGGTCACAACCAGTCTTTGCAGCTGACTGGCCTGGGTCCAGTTGACCTGCCAATGGCAATCGAGGCTCAACTTCAAGCGGGGGGGAGGGGTGTAAGCTCCATGAAGGGTACAACTTGAGTACCCAGCTTGGGTGATAGGGAAAGCTGTGCCAGTGGACCCTACAAGACACCTGCTATATCAGGCCATGCTACCAAGACAGGGAGTCATAGAAGCTCTACCTAATACAGAGAAACAAACACAGGGGGCCTGCCAAAATGAGCAGACAAAGAAACATGGCCCAAATGAAAGAACAGGTCAAAATTCCAGAAAAAGAACTAAACACAATGGAGATAAGCAATCTATCAAATGCAGAGTTCAAAACACTGGTTACAATGATGCTCAAAGAACTTAGTGAGGACCCCAACAGCATAAAAAAGATTCAGGCAGAAACGAAGGGTACACTAATTGAAATAAAGAACAATTTACAGGGAAATGACAGTACAGTGGATTAAACCAAGAATCAAATCAATGATTTAGAACATAAGAAAGCACAAAACAACCAATCAGAACAAGAAGTAAAAAGAATCCAAAAAGATGAAGATAGTGTGAGCAGCCTCTGGGACAACTTCAAGCATTCCAAAATTTGCATCATAGAGGTGCCAGAAGGAGAAGAGAAAGAATAAGAAATTGAAAATCTATTTGAAAAATAATGCAAGAAAACTTTGGTGAAAGAAATAGACATGCAAGCCCAGGAAGCACAGAGAGTCCCAAACAAGATGGATGCAAAGAGGCCCACTCCAAGACACATCATAATTAAAATGCCAAAGGTTCAAGATAAAGAGAGAATCTTAAAAGCAGCAAGAGAAAAGCAGTTAGTTATCTACAGGGTAGTTCCCATAAGACTGTCAGCTGATTTCTCAAAAGAAATGTTGCATGCTAGAAGGGACTGGCAAGAAGTATTCAAAGTCATGAAAAGCAGGTTGCTCTACCCAACAGATCATTTAGAATCAAAGGGCAGATAAAGAGCTTCCCAGGCAAGAAAAAACTAAAGGTGTTCATCATTAACAAACCATTATTATATGAAATGTTAAAGGGGCTTATTTGAGAAAAATATCAAAACTATGAACAATGAAATGGTAATAAATATCTATAAACAATTGAATTCTAAAAAACAAACTACGCAAACAAGAACAGAGACAGAATCATGGATATGGAGAGCATTTTGATGATTGCTAGAAGGGATGGGGATGTGGGGGAATGGGTGAAGAAGTGAGGGGATTAGGAAGTACAAATAGATAGTTACAGAATAGCCATGGGGATGCAAAGTACAGTATTAGATATGGAGTAGCCAAAGAACTTATACACTTGACCTGTGGATGTTAACAATGGTGTGGGGATTGCTGGGTAGAGGGGGAAAAAAGGGGAAAACTTGGGACAACTGTAATAGTATAATAAATAAAATAAAATTTTTTAAAAAGTACAAAATTTAATGCTTTTAATATATGTGGAGTTGTGCAATGATCTCCACAATCAATTTAAAACATTTTTATTTATCCCAAAAGGAACCCTGTATCCTTTAACTGTCATCTCACAACCCCTGCATTTCTGCTGGCCCTAGGCAACCACTAATCGACTTTCTCTCAGTAGATTGGCTTATTCTGGAAATTCCATATAAAAGGAATCATTCACATGCAGTCTTTTATGACTTGATTTTTTTTCACTTAGCATAATCTTTTCTTTTCATCGATGTTGTAGTATGCATCAGTACCTCACTCTTTTTGTGTGTCTGAATAATATTCCATTGTATGAATAAATTAGATTTTGTTTATCCATTCATCAGCTCGTGGACTTTAGGTTATTTCCACCTAGGGGCTATTATTTGGGTATTATGTGGAACTTGTGTGAAAATTCACATGCAAGTCTTAATGTTAGATATATGTTTTTATTGCCCTCAGGTAGATACCTGGGAGTGGAATCCTTGGGTTGTATGGTAAATTTAACTTTTAAGAAATTGCCAAACTGATTTCCAAGTGACTATAACATTTTATATTCCCACCACATGAATGCGTGAGAAAATTCTTTACAACTTTTAAAACAATTTTTAATCATTGGAAATTGCACAAACTACCCTTAAAAGTGACTTGGTTAAATATATTGTGATACACACATAATTAGAATACGACTAATAGACATAATAATATGGATCTATATTTATTGCCATCAATAAATGTTCATTTTTCTGGACTTAAATTCTGTTCACCAAATATTTCTCTAGCTCTCTGCTATATGTATTGCATTTCCCAGACCCCTCGTGGCAAGGTAGGGCCATGTGACTGGTTCTGGCCAATAAGGTATAAATGTAAGTCACATTTGTCACTACTGGACCAAGTATTTAATTGCAGGTGTGTGATACTACAGAAATGTATTTTCTTTAGGTCACAGTAATTAGCAGCATTTGAGATGGTAGCTGCTCTGTCAAGTCCAGGTCCCCGAGTGACCACAACATGCACACCTCCTCCACTGCTAACCCAAGATGGACAAGTTGCATAAGCAAGAAATAAATGTTTGTTGTTTGAGATGTTGAGATTTGAGGGTTGTTACCACAGTATAGTCTAGCCCATCCTGACTGATATATTAGTGACACATGTTTAAGTAATTAAATCAAGGAACAAAGCACTATATCTAGCATGACCTCATTGTTGTAAGTATGTTTATACGTGTAGAATGTGCACCAAAATGCTAATGATGTTGCCTTTGGGAGGCTGAATTATTTTTCTTTAAACTTTTCTGTATTACTTCAGTTTTTTAAAAAGATTTTATTTATTTATTTTTAGGGAAGGGAGAGAGAAAGAAGAGAGGCATCAATGTGCAAGAGAATCGTTGATCAGTTGCCTCTTGCATGGACCTGGCCCGCAACCCAGGCAAGTGCCCTGACTTGGAATCTAACTGAAGACCTTCTGGTTTGCAGGACAAGGCCGAATCCACTGAGCCACACCATTACTTCAATCCACTGAGTCAGGGCTGCCTTACTTCAGTTTTTGGTTAATTAGTCATTATTACTTTCAATAAAAGAAAACACAAGAAAGGTATTTCTATTTGTAAACTAAAAGTATAACAAAAACTGTTTTAATGCCCATCTTCCCCCTGATCTTCCCTCCTCTCAAAAAATATACTATTGTAAATTATCATTATAAGCTACTAGAGAACCTCCTATTCTATAGAACATGGAAGAGAAAAAAATAAT